AAAATCTCAACTTCAGTGTTGCTTCTTTTCCTATACCTTCCCCTCCCCTTCCTTTCCAAATTGCTTCATAGCACTCATATTCATTCTATCAGTTGCAAAGCACATATCACATTGCAGTATGGTCAGTTGTCACTTGGATGCCATAACTGGCCGTGTTGTAACGGCTGGAAAGATACTTTGTGGGTGAAGAGTACAATTTCCTAAAAAGAGACAGCTGCACAGAGCATTCCCCAACTGGATGAGTAAGTTTTCCAGGCCCAACTCCCAGCAATACCCCTGACTAGAAGTAAAATTCAATGCTTGAGAAGCTCTCTTTTCCTTTCTTAGGAAGGATTTATTAACTCTGCCACTGTCCTTCCCTCCAAACTGTTCAAGAGACTCTGGCAATTTACCAGCCTACACACCAGGTGTGAGTAACTGTTAATAACTGTTCCTATTTGTTGGCGTTTCCTGTGAGAATCTGTACGTCCCAGGTGTGCCATTCCCTAATGGGCCCAAACTCTAGGCCTGCTTGAGGTCTCCTCCCACAGCTTCTGTAAGTAGAATATTTATCTTTTCTACTGAAACTAGAAACCAGAATCAGTGCAACTCTCAAGGCGAAATCATTTATCCATCCGACCAGAGGAAATAATGTTGCAGAATATAGCTCCCAAAATATCTCTAAAGAAATTGCTCTCAAAAGTTACAACTTTCAAAACGTTTCTGAGGAAAAATGCTCTTGATTCATTTGTGCCCAAAGTGTATGCGAAATGTGCACTTGAGAAAGACATAAAGAAATAGATGAATTAATTAAATAATCCATGAGAAAAGGCCAAAATATTAATAGACCAGTAAGAAGTTGAAAACAGATCCTAAGTTTAAAAACCTATGAATGTATATGTGACTTAGGATTGATAGATAAAAAGGTCTTAGAATGTAGTTGTTATACATGACTTTAGCATTTTGTGTTTCTCAATTCCTGTATTTTATATGGTCATGATTTGGGGTGTGATAGGGTCAAAATAACATTTGCCCCAATAAGGGACTATAGTGGAAAGCCTGTTTTACATACTCATTTCCTGCAATGTCTGTCAAACAAGATTCTCTGACACAGAAAGGGAGTGAATATCTGCATCCAACTAGTGAGCTTTTCCAGCTATATCTATCTTTGCCTAAATTGTTACATTTGTAAAATGGAAACCATCGTAAGTTAATATTGCAATGAAACATATATCTCCATTTCCTGAACTTGAGAATGGAAAATATTCCTTTGTGAGTTTAGAAGACTCAGGGTCTAGTTCCAGCTCTGCCACTGATTAGCTGTATCACCTCTTTTTGCCTCAGTTTATGCATTTATAAGATAATGTCTTTCATCTTTAATAGATAAAGGATGGTAGCTTGGAAAGGATCTTAGAGATTTGGGTTTCTCAACCTTAAAAATGCAGTACATATTCCTACCCACCAAGGAGATTTCATATAGTGATACTTTCTGAATTCTTTTATCATAAAAACAAGTATAATAATTTTGCTTTTTCAAAACCATTTTAGTCCTCCCCATTCTGATATTTGTCTGCACTCCCAATCTCAACCCCTTCTGAGAGTTGAGAACCATTGATCTAGGCCAGTCAGTTATTCCAGCCACCCTGGTGTATACTTTTGAACCTATCATTGCCTCTCACTGTCTCTTTACCTCCAGGTATCATCAGAAGTCTTCTTTCCTCTCTCACTGCATCCATCCTTACTTAGGTCCCATTACTTAATGGTGCCAAACAAAGTCACCCACAGTTCTAACCTAGAACCCTTTTCTAACTTAAACTTTGTAAAAATGAGCTCTATGTAACTCACCTTCTCTTCTTCTCCTACCCTTATCAAATTAAGTTCAGCTTCACTGGTCTGGCTTTCAGGGCCTTCCAGTATGGTTTCAACCAAACTTCCTAGCCTTACTTTAATCTGTTGGCATGCGTGTCCTGTGCTGTAGCCTGTACTACTCAGCGTTGCCTGAAGGTAACTCACATTTCACCAGCCAGAGCCCTTTTCTCCTCCTCTGCCTGTCA